TCAGTCCCATAGCACCCTGCCTTTCCCTAGGTCCTCTGTGAGCCCCTTAGAAATATAAGAGATAGAAGGAAGAAAACTAGAAATAGTGGGGGAAATAGAATAGAGCAGGGATATGACACTGTACACTCTATAAATTCATTTTTATTTTTTTGTCTCCCTCCCTATTCTCCTTAGTTGATAACAGAGAGAGGCCAAAAGGTTCTGCTAGGAATCTGTAGTTTAAGCAAGAAAGAAGCAGAAACTGCGTACTAAGTGTGGTGACCTCCATGTCTGGACTGGCGACCTCTCCCTGATCTACAAGGACCCCTGTTACTTAATATTCAGGGTATCCTATCAATCAGTCCGTGTGGAGTTGGCTATTCTCAGTCCATTTCTACAGATTCTCTACTTCATTTGCATTTATTTTGCCTGTTTGTCAGTTTCAGTAAGCACTTTACTTAATTATATATTTTAAAGTGCTTGAACACATGCCATATAGAGAAAGGGTACAATTTTTTAAATCAATGGGGGAGGGGGAAGTCACTTATAGGGCTTATCAACTGGAACATCTGGTGTTTCACATATAAAAGGGGGGATGAGAAAGAAATACTCCAAACCAGGAATCTATAAGTTCGCCTAGAAAGGGTTTCACCTTACAACGAGGTTTGTTGTAAAAGGCCCCAGAGGTGTAAGAATGAATCTGCCTCTAAAACAAAAGACAACAAACAAAAAAAAACATGGCCGGGCGCAGTGGCTCATGCCTGTAATTCTAGCTCTCTGGGAGGCCGAGGCGGGCGGATTGCTCGAGGTCAGGAGTTCAAAACCAGCCTGAGCAAGAGCGAGACCCCGTCTCTACTATAAATAGAAAGAAATTAATTGGCCAAATAATATATATAGAAAAAATTAGCCGGGCACGGTGGCGCATGCCTGTAGTCCCAGCCACTTGGGAGGCTGAGGCAGAAGGATCGCTTGAGCCCAGGAGATTGAGGTTGCTGTGAGCTAGGCTGATGCCATGGCACTCATTCTTGCCTAGGCAACAAAGCGAGACTCTGTCTCAAAACAAAACAAAACAAAACAAGAATGAATCTGCCTCAAGTATGGAAACCTCAGGACAGTAGGAGAGAGTGATTGGCCCCCAAAAGAAGCAAAACCAGGGATGATAATCAAATATCAGCACATCTCCTGGAGGAAAAGCTTATCCTTTATCCCTGAAAGCCCCAAGTAAGGAAAAGCAAAAGAAAAACAAAACATGTATGCCAAGATCAGTCAACTAGACTAGTCCTGGTTTCCTACATCCAGACAGGTCTGGGTATCCGGCAGGCTGGGGCTTCTGCTCTGAGATGGGGAGAAAGGAGGATGTGGGCATTTCCCAGCTGTAACCGAGAAAGCCTATGGAAGGAGGCATGGGCAAGTTATCCCAGCTGCTCTGTCCAGCATCCTGCACATGGGTTTCTCGCCTAGTGATTACACAACAGCTGTAGCATAAATAACAATAGTGGCAGGTGGCAAACAGAGGAGACAAATAACAACAGCAATAGCTACCATTTGTTCAGTGCCTGCTGTGGGAACAGGTCTTCTACTGAGAGTTTTTACATGTATTATTGTATTTATTCTTCATAATCTATGAGGTAAGTGGTATTATTCTTATTGTAAAGTTTTAAAAAATTAAGTCAAGAATAAAAGACTTAGCTCAGGGTTCCATAGTTAATATAAGGATGAGTCAGGATTCAAATTCAGGTCTTTGTGAATCTAAGGTTTAAGGGAAAAAACATCACCAGCTCTCAAGCGTGCCACTGCTTTCAGAGAATAAAGAAGTGGCATGAATCACAAGTCACTATCACCAGTGGTTAGTGACATAGCTGCAACACCACAACAGAGGATTTCCAGAGGATTACCTAGAGGTTGCTGCAAAACCTCATGTCCCATAAAGCCTTTACGTCTACCCCCAACTTGTGAGGGAACAATATAGATCACTTTTGTCCCTCTCCTGCCTCCAGATCTCTCACAAGTGCCTCCCATTGTCAGAATCTAAATGGAAACACTACTGGCAAGAAATCCTGGAAATGTAGGCCCCAGCCTTCTAGCCCTGTAATTAGAGAACACAGAAGTGAATGATTCTGCATGGCCCAAGGGCATAGTCAGGGATGGGGACTACAACAATCTGGAATTTCAGAAAATATATGGTAGTAGTTATAATCCACTACCAATAACTCTATAATGGAGAAGGCGAGGCCACATTTCAATGGAAGCAGCTGATGAATCAAAGCCACAGAGTAAGTTTTAGCTGCTCTTTTGCACCTTGATCGTATTTGTAAGCTGGTGAGGTAATTTTTCACAGATTCAAATTTTCAACAACCTCTGGAAGAAAAAGAACATATTGCAAAAGTCTCTTTCCAGCCCTTCTTATTCTGAGGAGTCCCTTTTGAGAAACCTTATCACTAACAGCTTTAATTGATGGTGTAAAAACCCTGGGTTCTGTTTTCCACTCTCAATGAAAATTCTTACTTGCTGGCTGCCTGACCATTATTTTTCTACTTACTCAAATTTCTTCAGGAAAGGATTTAATTTTAATGACTGAATCAGCTGAAATGACTTATGAAAAATTTTGGTTTTTAACTTAAATTACCACAATTACATTCTATCCCTATTTCCTGACAGCAATTACTTCCAATTCCCATAGCTCTTTCTTATAATACCTCCATATTTCATGATAGTAAGCTTATACTGCTAGTTTTGGATTTTTCAATTTAGATATTATCTATTGATTCTATACCATCAAAAATGAGGAATTAGCTTTCTTATAATTCAATACACACACACACACAAGCACACAACTCTCACTTTTCTACTCATCCTCTCAATGTAATTTTTGGGGTTAAGTCAAAATTACAGTATTACATAATTATGATTATATAATATTTATTCACTGGTGCATCATGTAGTTTTCTGTATTTCTTTTCTTATAAACTTTCATTTTTTCTTAGAGTTAATAATCTCTTTTTCCTTTGCTTAATTTTTCAGTAATCACTAATTCACCTACAAACTCTCTATCATAAGGAATAACCTCCTCTCAGTAGGCTGAAACATATCAGTTTCATATTTTCCTGAAGCTATCCTTATCTCCCCACCGCATCCACCCTCACGTTCCAGTTGGAATGGTTGCTCTCTGGGCTTGATGCCCGGCTACCATTATGAGATCACCTGTCACCATCAACCAGGGACTTGGACACTGTATCTCAAGTTCATGGGCAGCTCCCTTGAATCTTCCCCTGTCCCCATAATATGAAAAGTTGTTGTTGTTCGTAGTGGTGGTGGTGGTGGTGGTGATGTTTTCCTTCAGTTGGACCAAAAGCTATTAGATTCCCGTTCATATCGTGACTTCTTCCTGCCCTTTCTAGATGATCCTATGTGTGCCTCAGGCATGTGAAAGTAGGAGCCTGGTACATTCCAGAGCCTGAAAGTCTCCAGCTCTGTCCCTGTGGTCAGTCTGCCTGAGTGGGAAATAATGGAGAGATACCAAAATACAAATGCGTGGGAAGGGTTTCCAAGAAGAAGTTATCTAAACCATTTCTGGAAATAGATGATAACATTATTTCCTTAAACACAGGATGCCAGAAAAAGAGAGAAAGAGATTGTAATAAATGGTACCATGTAAAAATTACTTTCAAAATCCCAGTGTTTTTTTCTCTTTTTTAAGCCAATTGCTTTGTGCTAAGTGATATCACCAGGAGTCTATGTGTGAGTGTTGTGTAGGCCCAGTGCCCAAAGCCTTTTTCCAAATCCATTTGCTAGAATCATTTATAAGGCCATTACACCAGAGTATAGAGCTTGGCTCCCTTCCTCAAATTCAAATATTAGATAATAAATACACTATCACAAAAATTTGGTTAGCTGAGGCTCCCTGGAAAGCCAAACAAGACAGAAAAAAAAATACACACAACATAATTTTGTCATACATATATGAAAGCTGTCCAGAAAGTATCCTAGCCATTGTTAATAGTATTTTTTATATTATTAATGCATGGCTGGATACTTTCTTGACAGCCCTCATATTCCATGGAGAATCCAAAATGCAACCAATTTAGACCTGAAGTGAGCATTTATTTCTTCCCATTGCACACAGAACACCACAGAGTCCATCACTCTGTAAACATTATGTATATATACACAATATTTAATATATATGTCATATGAATTGTAATATCAAGCTTAGCTAGCATTTTAATTACTAAAACATTCTAATTAATGGTATTTCTGCCCTACGAAGAGTACAAGATGAACCTTCTCCATCCTTAAAAGAATCATATAAATCAATAAAAAAAAGACTTTTATATTTGGAGTACTTCTTTTAGATGAAGAATAACTTACATACAGTAAAATATACAACTCTTAAGCATACAGGTTGATGAATGTTAACATACAGAAACACCTGTGTTACCATCACGTAAATCAAAATACAGAATATTTCCATCATCCAGAAAGTCCCCTCATGCCCACATGCCTGTTGGTTGCATTTTTAATGGTAAATATACTTTATTCTTTACATATTGCTAATTTTTTACTAATTAGAATTTTTGATTAAATAGAACCCTGACCATTCCAGGAAGAAGAGAAAACTAACATTTATCAAGCAAATAAAATGTGCCAACCACTTTGACATTTCATGCTAATCCTGTTGGGCAGGTGTAATTATCCCTGTTGAGCCAATGAAGAAGTTTGGGTTCTGAGAGTTTAAGGGAACTTCCAATGTCTTACAGTTTGTAAGCAACTCCAAACCCTTTGTTTTTTTCCATTTAACCACACTGCCAGATAATACAGCTTACTGAACTTTGCAACTAAGAGAGGGTTTTTTGGTTTTTGGGTTTTTTTAGCCAACTCTCATTTATTAAATATTTATGCCCAATACAGACAAGTGATGAAGGATAAATGAAATCCATAGAAAATAAAACATTTATCTATTAGGTAACTTTAAAAATAGCTTCATTTATTTACCTTAAAAATATCTTAAGAATAGGAGAAAAAGAGAACGACAGTGCCCATATTCTAACTATGCTTTAAAAACAGAAAGGTATTGCTTTTTAGCTCTTTGAAATGGCAACTTTGGTATTGATTTCCAGATCAAGTTCAGGGCCAGGAACAAAAGAACAGTGTTAAGTAGTCTCTTTAAATGACCTGGAATTCACCTGATCACCAAAACCAGGAACCAACCGGCCCAGCTCAAAGTAGTAGTGGTTTTCGTGGGACCCTGGTCAGTGGTCCTTAAGGCCTAATTCTTGTGACCTCAAAGTTTGTCTGGGGATGTCACAGTTTTAGCAGGTTCCAGGAAACCTTTCAGTCTCAGGCAAACATAGCTGTTTGGTCAGCCTACTGCACAGTCACTGCCTTTCAAAGTACCCAAATATAATAGTGGTTTTGGTCTTTGGGATTGCAAAGGATATTTGGGAAAGCGAATATGATCATAAATGCAAATCATATCAAGTTGTTCATGAAAAAGAGTTACAAGACTAAGAATATCTATATGCATCTGTTTATGCACATATAAGAAATCAGCAGAAGGAGACCAGGGAAGCACAGTCTTATTGCGTCCAGGAAGAGGAACCCAGTGCTGACTGACTGGAGCAGGATGGTAATCTCTCACTGCATGCCCTTTGTGAGCCATCTGAATTAAACGGATCCATACGTGTGATTGCTCTAGTTCAGTGTTATTGAACTGTGTTTCTCAGCAGGCCTGGTGCAGGTGCAGGGATGGGAGATAGGGAAGTAATGGAGATGATTATAGACACCCTCCACCTCCTTTAACCAGCTTTGTACTGAGCTGTTTCACATTTTGGCTTCTTCACAAGATATCATTTAAATAATAGGTTTTATGATTTTTTAAAAGTCTGAAAACCATAGCACTTATCTCTTTACTTGCATTCTGTAAACAGAAACCCTTTCTGAACAATCCTTTACAGAAGAGGTCTGCTGAGAAGCCAAGGAAGTTGGGTCAAAGGAACCAGGTTCTAATTCTAGGTCCATACTTGCTGTCTGTGTGACCATGAGCAAGTTTCTTTACACTCGCTGAGCCTTAATACATTCTTCTGCCTGTGTGTGTATGTATGTCTGTGTGTATGTATGTCTGTATGTATGTCTGTGTGTATGTATGTCTGTGTCTGTGTGTGTAAAATTAACTCAAAGGGCTGCTGTGAAGATTAAATGTTATAATAACTCATGAAAGTACCTGGGTATACAGCCAATGCTCAATAACTGTCTAATCTGAAACACAGTCAGAGTGCCACAAAGCATTCATGCAGAAGCAGTCTTCAGGCTCCATGACTGTTTCTACATTGACCCTCCTGCCTTCATCCCAAACTCAGCAATTATAGAGACCACACAGATTATAGAGCTGAGGGTCAGCTCTTCCAGATGCCAGGGTCAAGAGCCAACTCCAGGCTTACTCTATTCTGGGGACTGTGGTTTGGAGTTGTCTTTCAGCTACAGAAACCAACATAGACGGCATGAAGCAAAAGATGGTGTATGTGGGAGAGTGGTCAGTGGTCCCCATGAATCATCACAGCCGAGAGAAGCAGGGTTGGTTCTCCACAGGAAAGGACATGCCAGTGACAAGAACTCCCCCAGGGATTCTGAATCAGATGAGGAAGAGGCAGTGTCAGAAGAGAGCAAAGGGAAGGAGGGACTAACAGAGGCAGAATATAGGAACGTAACTGCAGAGATGGGGAAAATGGACAAAGTTATCAGGGAGATCCAGCCATGGAAATACCACCAGTGAGTAAAGAGAGAGGCTTTAACATCATTTTCAGTTAACCACAATGATCAATGCTTAAAACACAGCATTCCTGCATACACACACAGGAAGATGGTGAACTTGTGGTTCCCATGTTAATGAATGTTAGCCTTCATACCCTGAGATCATTACCTGTATCTAATACCTACCTAAGGGGGTGTTCTACCAAGCAGCAGCATTACGCGGGAGCCTCAATCAAAGCCCTGCAGCAGCCAACGAGGCTTCTCAGTAGCTCTGGACCCATCCCCAGTCTTCACCAAGAACTCTAGCTTCTAGACAACTCCAATTTCAATGGTAACCAGTCATCAAGAGTTTATATAGCTGTTATCAAGTCAGCTATGATGAAACTTCAAATTCAATAAAAACTCTCTTCATCAACTGTTGCCTCCACTTAAGCAAACTAACTGGGTTAACCAACCTGAGGTGATCATATAATTTATTGTTCAGGACCCCTTGGAGAGTGAAAAGGGTGCTCTTAATAACTAAACCAGGACAACAGACACAAACTGGGATGTGTGTTTACACCTAACACTCTTGTCCCTCTTTAAAACCCACCGCCTGGTGATTGAGAATAAATTATTCTCCAATAGCCTCTGCATTTCTGTGTCCACCAGCTGAATCATATGCTATCAAGAATCACTCATTTTCATTCCTAGGCCTGTTTATGCTCATTGTATTTCTTATTAGAATTATGTAATTGTATTAAATTTTATGCAAAGTGATGAAATGTAAATATCAAAAGGAAAGGTTGTTTCTGTGCAAATTTAGTCAAATGTCTCAAAAACCTCAAAAGTGAGTTGCTTTAAAATTGCTGTCGCAGTTCAATTCACAATCACAAAGATGTGGAAACAACCCAAATGCCCATCAATACATGAGTGGATCAAGAAAATGTGGTATATGTATACCATGGAGCACTAATCAGCCATTAAAAAAAGGATGATCTAGTATCTTTTGTAAAAACCTGTATGAAACTGGAGACCTTTCCTTTAAGTGAAGTATCACAAGAATAGAAAAACAAACATCACATGTATTCAATACTAAATTGAAACTAATCGATCATGCGCATATGGAAGTAAAACTCAAGGGACATCAAGTAGGTGGGAAAGAGGAATAGGGGATGGGTAAATTCACACCTAACAGATACAATGCATACTAACTGGGTGAAGGGCATACTTATAACTGTGACTCAAACTGTATAAAAGCAAATTATGTAACCAAAACGTGTGTACTCCCGCAATATTCTGAAATCAAAATAAAAAGGAAAGAAAAAAATTGCTGTCCTTGCATGTGAGAAAGGCAACTACAAATGATTAGGAGAAAAAAATATATTAAAACTGCAGTCTAGACAGAGACTACGCTCAGTTTACTTCACAAGTGTTTTTAAGATCTTGCTCCACTTGAAAGAAATTAAAACTAGATTCTGTAAATGATGCATGACGAGAGTGGTTTATGTAAGAATGAGGACATGGAACTCCAAACAATGAACTCATAGCAAGGAAAAGTCAGTCCTTAGTGAAAAATTATCCATGCATTTTAAGTTTAAGTTAAAAGGTTTAAAGTATATATATGTTCTTTTTTAAATTCCCAGATTTGGCAGACTTTATCAATTAACAGGTTAACCTCTGATCTCTACCTTGACCCTTGCCAAAATTATAGCTGTTCCTTTGTCTTCATACCTAACATAGTACTATTCAAAGGATGAGAAGAAAATAATAATCCCACCTATAAATGTTTACATGAGACACTATTCAAAGTGTGTTATACTTATTAATTCATTTAATAAAACAGAGTGAAAGTTTAGAGATGAGTGAGAGAGCAGATTAAAGGAAGAGAAAACTGTCCCTATGAGCATATTGATGCTTAGAGGATCAGAGGAGGAGATAATGGTTTACGTTTGACAAATGGGATCTCAGCTGAACATCAAGTAGCAATTATTTAATCAAACACTGGAAAAGAGTTGGTTGGGTACTGCGACTCCAAAAGGCCATCTGCCTAGAGAGGGAGCCAAAGTTTGAGGAAGCCAGGAATGGGACAAGGAGGCACCCAGGCTAAATCCAAGTTGGCCCAGCTGAATGCCCTGCCCTAGAAGGAAAGCCGTAACCAAAATGCCAAGCCAAGGAACCACAGTGAGAAGATTGCCAGGTCACAAAAGCTGAGTCATGAGTCACGGGACCGGGCATAACACACCGAAAGAGCATACCAAAGGCAAGAAGGCCGGGTCTGAGAAAAGCCAGCTGGACGAGATGTTGACCTCAGCAGATTGCCAACGGCCCTGGCCTACATCTTTTGCAGCCATGCACTTCACTGTAAAGCAATCCTACTTGTGAACTCTGACCTGACACCCAGACTATTCCAGGAAAATGTACTGGGCTACCTAAGCAAATTATTTCTCGAAATGGTTTATTTCTTCTCTCTTATATCAAAACAGGGTTTGGACAATGTGATCATAATGTATCCACAAATTTTAGGATTCTGTGAAAAACATAGAAGAGATGAAAGAAAACAGGCTGAGATAGAGGAAAAGAATAAGACATTTTAAATGGCCATTTATATAAGTTCTATTTTTCAGTTTCAATATGAGTGACCCACCTAGAAGTGGGAATAAATAAGAAATCATACCACTGACCTAGTACAGAGGTTCTGAAACAGCAATCTATGCAGAGTAGATACATCAGAATCACTCTTTTAAAAAAATGTATTTCCAGCTATTTCCCCCAGACCTACTATATCAAAATCTCCCAGGAGGAACTGGTTATCTCTATTTTTTAAATCTCCTTGGGTGTTTATGATACACAGTAGACTTGGAAACTTGAATTTGTAGACATTCTCAGTATTTAGGGCCTTGTACCAAAAATGAGTGAGGGCTTTTTATCCCAGCCACCTGCTTAGGGTACAAGGACAGCAGCATTGGTTGATTCCATTTGATTCAGGTACTTCCTAACAGTAGGAGAAAATGAGGTTTTTTTGCTCAGGACCTCATGAGGAAAATGTTTAAGGAAATACAACCCCCTATAATGAAATAAATTGAATATATATACCTTACTTAAAGTTATCATAAGTAGAAATATTATATGTATAATAAAATATGAGTAATTGCAGGTGTAAATGCCCTCCTGTCTACGACACTGGTGAAGTCCTTAGCCAGGACCACTTGGAAGAGAAACTTCTCATATGAGTCCAAATCTGCATCTTCTTTTATTATTTGCATCCATGTAGGTCTTTTTAGGCAGTTTGCTATTGTCAGTGTTAATATGCTTATTGTAAAGAACTCTCAGTTTTTTGTGTCTGCAATTACTCCAATTACTACACTGACTAACATACAAGTTTCCTTCCATTCAAGTCATCAACTACATTTTTATTGCTGTTTCTATCTGTACTCCTAATTGCTTTTGTACAAACCTGTGTAACCAAAGAAATTTCTAAAGGTACAGTTGTCTTATATGACCCATTTTGAATGAAACTCTGTTCTGCTCAGAGCTTCAGATCTTTCCAGGTGAGGGGTAGGGGAATCACTTCTGAATTAAGTATTTAACCTTTATTAATATTGCATATATTGCATATATCACAATGCACCCATAAATGGATCCCTTATCTTGTGTTTATCACAAGGTACTATAAATCTGTGTTTAATTGTGTCTCTCTACAGTGAGTTATAATAGGTCTACAAGGACAGGGAGCATTTGTGTTGTCCATTGCTGAATCACCTATATCTAACTTGATTCTAACTCACATAAATGCTTTATAAATATGTGTTGAATGGAAGGACATATGGATGGGTGCATGAGCGGCTGTTTCCTGCTTTTACCACAAAATACGTCCTACAAAGGTACTACCTGCCCTTAAGCCCTCAGAGAACAGACATGATATCACATTCATTTCTGTGTGTCCTTGGTACCAAACCCAATGGCTAGCACAGTGACTAAAGGCAGAGTTGACCAAGCTATGTGATTCACTGCCTTGTTGTTCAATATCTTCCACAACAGAGTTGCTTAAGCTTGTATATAATCCAAACCAGATCAGAGGATTCTCTGAACATGAATAGTCTGGCTTGTGAAACAGCTAAATATCTAAACATTCCCAAGTTCCCAATTTGTATATAGACTAAATAATTTGCAATCAGGAATTGTCCTAGTTAGGAAGATTAGTGCTCAGAGAATCCCAACTCATACACTATTAAATCCAAGAAACAAATTATATGTTCACTGGCCAGAGCCATGGTTTCCTTGTGGCATCATCGGAGATGAGTCAGGACCAAAAAGGTCATCAGTGTCAGAAATGTAACCACAGATTTCCTGTAACGTCAAAAGCTGAAAAATGGAGTTTGGGAATTGAGATTTACAACCCAACTATTCCTTCCTTCACCTCATCCCCCTTAAACACATCCAATCAAGTGAAGTCAAGTTTCTCAGGCAAGATTTTCCTGTTTCTGCTTTCAAATATAAAATAGTCTCCTAGAGAAAATAAAACATGATTCACAGGTAGGCAAACACTCTGTTGTTTGTGAGCCAATAAATATAGATCAGTCATAGACCCATAAAGATATCCTGAAAAAACCTGAGTTGCTGAATAACAAAATAAAAATTAGAGCTAATATCTATTGAGCATTTGCTGTTTACCAAGCATCGCACTAACTATATGGAATATGTGATGGTTAATTTTAGGTGTCAGCTTGACTGGGTTAGGAATACCCAGATAGCTGGCAAAACAGTATTTCCAGGTGTGGCTGTGAGGGTGTTTCTGAAAAAAACATTTGAATTAGTAGACTGAGTAAAGAAGAGTCACCACCACCAATATGAGGAGGAATCAGACAACCCATTGAGGGGCCAGATAAAATAAAAAGGCAGAAGAAAGGCAAAATCACTCTCTCCTTTGAGGCTGCGATATCTATTAATATGGTTTGGATGTTTGGCCCTCACGTTGAAATTTGATCCCCCATGTTGGAGGTGGGGCCTGGTGGGAGGTGTTTGGGTCATGGGGACAGATCCTTCATGAGTGTCTTGGTGCCCTCCCTGCAATAATGAGTGAGTTCTCACTTTATTAGTTCACACGAGAACCAGTTGTTTAAAAGAGCCCGGCCCCACTTCTCCTTCTGTCTTGCTACTTCTCTCAGCATGTGTCACGCCTGCACCCTCTTCGCCTTCCACTTGATTGGAAGCTCCCTGAAGCCCTCAGCAGAAGCAGATGCTGGTGCCAGGGTTGTACAATCTGCAGAACCGTGAGCCAGATAAACTTCTTTTCTTTATTAATTACCCAGCCTCAGGTATTCCTTTATAGCAACATAAAACAGACCAACCCATCCATCTTCTCCTGCCCTCAGACATCAGAACTCTAGGTTCTCAGGCCTTTGCCTGTGGACTGAGAATTATACCATTGGCTTTCCTGGTTCTCACGCCCTTGGACTCAGACTGAGTTACACCATACCAGCTTCTCTCTAGCTTGCATCTAGCATATCATAGGCTTTCTCAGCCTCTGTAATCCCATGACCCAATTCCCATAATAAATTCCATCTTACATCTATATTAATATATTCTATCGATTTTGTTTCTACAGAGAACCTAATATAGAATATAGCTCATTAAATCTCCACAATAATCCAAGAGGTAGATTCTATTATTATCTCCATTTTATAAATAAGGAAGCTGACAATCATAGAAATTAAATAACTTTCCCAAGAATATACATTATGTAAAAGAGAAGCCATGATTCAATCCTAGAGAGATGAAAAGGTAACAATCCAAGCCAATAATATAATATCTAAGTCAAGGAGCAGATAAAAATAAATGAACATCTTGGAAAGTAATTTTGGAATAAAATGAGTCTGGTACACACATGTAGGACTTTCAGTTCTGTGTGGTTCAGATAGGGGAAGAGACAGCCCCATAGTGGTAGGTATGGTTTGGAATATAACCAATCTGAACCAGAACAAGAAGAAAAAAAAAATAGGGTCCAGAATGATCATACTCTCTCTCTCTCCCCAAGACCTATTCCCAGAGAAGTTGTCCAGTTTTTGAAACTTTCTGTTAAGAGGTATTTCTATAAAACCAGTTTTTGGAGACTCTGAAGAGGTAGCCTTTTTAATACTTTATTAACTCCTGAAAAGAGATATCTTACTTACTAATCTGGTTACATTTTGAATCAATAAGAATCACTAACTAAAGGCAGATGTTTTAGTCATGATTCACCCACTACCCCAAAACCTCCAGCTTATTGGAATCTTCATTATTTCCATTAACACTTCTCTGCTCATGGAAACAAGAGACCTAATCACAATCTATTCTTCCAGTAATAGTTAATTTCCTGTGTCAACTTGACTGGGTCATAGGGTCCCCAAATATTTGGTCAGACATTATTCTGGGTATTTCTGTGAGGGTGTTTTTAGATGAGATTAACATTCAAATTGGTAGACTGAGTAATGGCCTTCCCCAATGTAGGTGGGCCTCACCCAATCCATTGAAGGCCTGAATCAAACAAAAGGGCTAACTCTCCTCCTAGTTATAATTTTCCCACCTTTGGACTCAAACTGAACCATTGGCTCTTCCTGTGCTCAAACCTGCTGGCCTTCAGACTACAACTACATCATCAGCTCTCCTGGGTCTCCAGCTTACCGAGTCATCCTGCAGATCTTAGAACTTTCCCACCTCCATACATGCATGAGTTAATTCCTTATTGTGATATTTTCTATATATAAATATGTGTGTATGTGTTTGTCCACAATTCCTGGCTCCTAATTTTCATAGTCCTTGTTACGGTAAAGAGAATCTCTTTCCACAACCTTCTCCCACCCTCCCTTTGACCTGCCTAAGACAGGACTCTAATCTGACTGTAGGTCATAAGACCCTCATTCCAAAGGACGTCCTCCCATGCCCTGGAAGAAGGAATGCTGTGCAAAGAAGCCAAGAAGAATCTGGACAGACAGGCCTTGCTGGATTTAGATCATACCATTTTGTCCAATCACATTTCAATACAGTTGTCCGTGCTTCAGTCACGTCTATCCAATGAAGTCTCCATAAAAGGCCTAAAAGGACAGGGTTTGGGGAGCTTCCTGATAGCTGAGCACATGGAGGATCCTGGAGAGTGGGGCACCAGGGAGGGCATAGGTGCTCCATGCCCCTCTCTCCATACTTCATCCTGTACATCTCTTCATCTGTATCCTGTATAATAAACTGTATAATAAACCAGTAGATGTGCTTCCCTGAATCTCATAAGCCAGCCACTCTGGCAAATTAACTGAACCCAAAGAGGGGATTATGGGAACCCCAATTTGAAGCTGGTCAGTCAGAAGTTTCAGAAGCTCAGACTTGCAACTGGTATATCAAGCAAGGGAGCAGTTTTGGGGACTGAGCCTTCAACCTGTGGGATCTGAAACTATTCTCCAAGTAGATAGCATCAGAATTGAATTGGAGGACACCCAATTGGTGTCTGCTGCAGAATTGTTTGCTTGCTTGGTGGTGGGGAGAACCCCTGCACCCAAATTTGCTCACGGAAGTCTTCTGCGTTGATTGCTGTGGTTTGAGAAGAGAGGAAAAACAGTTTGAGTTTTTCCTAACACTTATAATATCTCTTTCTCTCTCTTATCTCTATCTCTCTCTCTGTCTAGATAGACAGACAGACAGACAGACACACACACACACACACACACACACACACCCTATTGCTTCTGTTCTCTGGAGAACCTGGATTAAAATATTTCCCTTGCATTTCAGCCTCTCACACTCGTGACCCACAACCACACCTCTGGACCTTGTTATCACCTGGAGCTGAAATTCAGCACCTTATTCTGACCACAACTCCCTATCTCTTCAGCTCAGGAGTCCTCTACACCCACCACACCCTCTTTTTGACTCATTGAGACCTCCTATCCTTGACTTCCTCCTTCTAATTAAGCTCCTCTTATATTCACTTCCTACGCTTCCAGTCCAATACTCAGTGTCTCTTATCACTCACTGTCCTCAACTTCCTTGCCTATAGTCAGCCATTTTTGCCCACCAAAGCCCAAATTCTGGATCAATCCCACTGCTTGCCTACCTTTTCTGCATTGAGAGCCAGGCTGCTCAGGGCTGTTGGAAAAAAATCAGAAAACCACACATCCTGATACCCATACAAATTTTGGCATCACTTATAACACTCTCTCTAGTTTCTCCTCCTCTATCTCTAGCCATTCATTCTCTTTCTCTGCTTGGGCTGCTACTTCTTTCAACAGGCTCAGGGGTCCATCCTCCAGCCTTTTCTTCAATTGTCCCTTGGTATATACATAGGGGATTGGTTCCAGAACCCACCCCCACAGCCTACATGTACCAAAATCTGCAAATACTCAAGTCCCGAAGTCACCCGAGGAACCCACATATATGAAAATTAGACTCTCCCTACACATAAGATTCATACCCCTCACACACTGTATTTTCCATCTGCATTTTGTTGCAAAATATCCACATATAAGTGGACCTATGCAGTTCAAACTGTTGTTGTTCAAGGGTTGACTGTATACTCTTTTTGGATGATCTCATCCACCACCAAGCCTTTTAACCTCCACCTGTATCTTGACTACTCACTGATCTACATCCCCAGTGCTGATCTCTTCCTGAATTCCAGATGCAGTTGCCTTCTAGGCAGTGACAGACACTCTAAACTTCACGCATATTAAAGGAGCTCTCATACATCTTCACCTCACCTACCAACAACCTATTCTTCTCCTGTATTTATTATCTCAGTGAATGACACTACCACCCACCTGGCTGTTCAAAATAGAAACCTGGGACTCACTCCCACACCCAGACACTAAATTCTGCATATTAATACCTCTTTAATATCTTCCAATTGGTATGCCTTTAATATAGTTTCCTTACTTCAAAAGCCTTTATTGTTTTCTCTTCTGAATCAATGCCTCTGCCTTATTTAACCTTCTCATATGGGCAATAAGCTGTCTGCTCATTCATTCAACAAATATGTTTTTAGTGCCTACCATGTGTTAGGAACAATGCTGGGATATAAGGAGAAACAAACAGACATGGCCCCTGTCTTTGTGAGACTTTCACTCTCTTGTGTTCTTTTTCTAAAGAATAGTGTGATATGCATCCCTTGTGGAGCCCTATGGTTTGAAACCCCCTTCCTCCACTATACCATGCATGCTTGAGCAAGTTAACAAGCATGTGCTTTGGTTTTCTCATCTGCAAAATGAGGATGATGAGAGTACCCACATCCAGGCCTTGTACTTAAGACACACAGTAATAATGAGTAGTGGCACTTCACAGCTTGGATCTATCCTGATTGCATGGCCATGGTGCCAATCATATCCATGCCACACCAGTTGATAAATACTGTTGATTCACCCTTGCTTACCTCCTAAAGTTGGTATGAGGATTAAATGAGCTAATACATGTGAAATGCATACAGTAGCACTGACACTGAGAAGTATTCGATAAATATTAGCTGATTTAAATTCAATAGGTGATTTCCCAAGGTATCCATAGCTCTCCATTTCTTTTACCTGATCATTTCACCATCAGCTCCGGCCATATCAAACTCCTTAGTTCCCTGAATAGGTCACTTCCTTTTTTCACCTTTGCCCCTTTATCCACGTTGCTCCCTCTACCTGGACCACCCTAACCTCTTCTATGTCTACATGCAAATACACACATGAACACCTGGAGAATGTCTGCTCTTTCTTCAACACTTAGCTCACATTTTTAAAACCACTCAGGCTAGGAAATACCTCCTCAGGGAAAACATCCCTGACACCTGACGACTCCTCTCAGGTGCACTGCTTACGGTCACGTATTAGCAAATATCTATTGCTGAGTATTTCTCAGCCTCCCTGCCCTTAATGGCCTCACCCCTCTTCCCTCTGAGAAATGGCTCTTCTCCCACTACCCACTGTGTGAGTCTGCAGTGTCTTCAATCACAGTCTCCAGCCCTCCAGCCATGTTAGCTAGATCCAACAAATCATAGAAACCCGTGGTCCTGAGGACAGTGATTGGTCCAAGGAGTGGGCATGTGACACAAGCATAGCCAATAAGAGTCCTTGCCTTGCCTTGTTCTAATTGGAGCTAACAAGGAAAGTTTCTTGTCTCCGGGGTGATGGAAGCAGAGGGATGTAACACAAGGGTTATTTATAGCCACATTCTTCACCAGGCAACCAGAGACTCCTGATATATTTTTAGGATTTGGCTTACCTCTATCAAAGCCTATTGCCTCACTGATTGGAATTATCCATTTAGCAAGTACTCAGTAAATGTTTGTTGACTGAATTGCTTGCATTTGGAAATACACAACCTCCAAATGGAATACTGAAAGTTGGGTACATACATATGTCATCTCTGGTCCTAGTTGATGTCATATATATGTACCCAACTTTCAGTACAAATCTGTACAAATCTTGAAATGTAGGGACTGAAAACTAAGTCATACTTAAGCAGAGCTCAACTCTTTCCTTTAATGTGAAAATTTTTTGCATATGACCCTTCAGAGTTAAAATGGTAGGAGACACTAAGGAGAGCAACACAAGGATTTTTCGTATATTTATTATAGAATAGAAAAGAAAGAAAAAATTTAGTTAAGCTGGAAAATAACTTATCTCAAATGAAAAATACAGTCCCTAAACCTTGTTTAGCCATTGAGTCACCAGGAACATAGCAACTCTATTGTGAAACCTCTCTTCCTCCCCAACCAGATCTGTAAATTAGAAATAATATTATGTGTCCTGGCTAATCTCACTACAGCTTAATAAGATTATTTCTAGGAAACCCTTTGACTTCAAAAAAAAAAAAAAAAGTCATAGGAAAATTCAAAGAACTTCTCTTATAAAAGGTTTCAATTTGATTAAAAAGCCCTCCATGCCTACTTTGTGAGTCATGCAAATTTCCCACTGACTTTCTATGTGTCTCTATTATCAGCATTAAATATTTATTTAAAGTCTATTGAAGTAAAAAATTATTCTCCCAGCTCTCAGCCCAAGGTGATTTCTAATGACTATTTAGTTTTTATGATGATTTTTTAAATTTGCATTAATAGAAGAATCTAATGTTAAATTGAAAGTTATTAACATTGGCCTCCTTTCAAGTTTTCTGAATGTTGAAAAGATCCTTCTTCTTTTTTTTAAACCACATTTTTCCTTAATTGCATGGGAATAAGGTTACACTTAATTATTATTTAGAATTTCTATAGCACATTTGTATAGGCAAAGACTTAAAGTTGTGCCTTAATTGAAGCAGCCATAACTTACCGCCTTCTTAACATCCACTTGCATGTCTAATAAGCAACTCAGATTTAACGTAACCAGAAAAATGACTGACATTCACTCCTCTCCAACCTATTTCTCCTAGAGTCTTCTCCAACACAGTTAATGGCAACTTCATTCTTTTAACTGTTTGGGTCAAAACCTTGGGGTTGTCCTTGCCTTCTTTCTCCTCCCATTTCACATTGAATCTACCAACAAAGCTTGTCGGCTCCACTCTCAAAATGTAGTCCCAATATGCCTCCACCCTGGTTCTACTTGCTGCCATCCCTCACCTGGATTATTGCAGCACCATGACGACTGGTTTCCCTTCTCCCACTCTTGCTTCTTCAGTCTGTTCTCAGCACAGTGACCACACTGAGCAGCTTGAGTTAGATGTCTTCTAGCTTATCCCTGCCTAGCCCCCACCACCATGACTGCCCACCTACTCAGAGCAAAAGCCAAAATCCAGGCAATGATGACAAGGACTCTCATCAACTCTAGCCTCCAGCCACCAGACCTGCTCTTCTTTGGGACCTTGTACTTTGAACACTCTCTGCGTTCTCTTCCCCCATATATCTGCATGGCAGGTCCTCTCACTTTCTTCCAGTCTTCCTCAAATGTCCCTTTCTGAGTGTGGCCTTCCCTGACAACTTTACCTAAAATTGCAACTCCTCACTACTGATATGTCCTTTCACCTTCCTTCCTTATTCCCTCGCCCCCTTCAGCACTATACATAATCCCCCTATGTACTTATTGTAATATGACATGATGCTGTTTGTCATCTGTCCTCTTTGATGTAAAAAGCAGGAAGGCAGATATTTTTGTCCCTTTTATTCACTAATTTATCTTCAGGGTCTGGCACAAAGTAGGGGCTCAACAAAGATTAGTTCTCAAAAAAATATGAAAGAGCTTCCAGCTTCCTTCACCATAACATGAGGAACAACATCCTCTGCTGTTAAACTCCCATTCTACCAAACATAGTATTTTTTTTCCTAGTGGATATTTCAGACCATGAATATAGAGGAGCAGCTGGGGCAACGGGGAGCTGAGTGGGAAGATGGGTGGTGCTTTGGCTCACGTGTGATCCCTCTAGATGGCTCGGGGTGTTCTACATTAGCCAGATCAAATCACAGCAGCTTTAGGCAGAAATATGAGCACCTAATCAGAACCACACAGGCCCTGGGACAGTGAAAACTTTTCAGAGGAGATTAAGTTGCTCCTGGAACCAATTTCTCCATTGATTATTGACTAGAATGCAACCCAACCCCAGCCTACAAAGAATATCTTTGTTCTTTCTAACTCTCACCTTCTATGATTCTGTGGCGTCTCTCTGTGATTACAGATAGCCTCAATTTCCTGTAGTGCATGTGTTCATTAATGCAGACCACCACACAAAATGAGAAACTGGTCCTTGCACGATGGGTTTTTTCAGTATAATCACCTCCACCATCGAAAATATGAACTTATTAATCATTCACTCATGGGTACTGCTATGCAGGTTACACAAGTCAACAAACACAGAAAATAAAAGGAGCATAGTCCTTACATCAGACAACTGCTACCAGCTGATATTTGTTGTGGGGGTTACCAGATCTTCTGATTTTTCAAGAAAAGCCAGACTTCAGATTTCACGTGAAATCCCTCAAATGTAGAAAGTTGGCTTCTTACTCGAAATTTTAAAAACCACCACCACCACACTGTGGGACAAACAAAACAGCTCCTGACCACATTCAGCTGAGACTCAGCCTTTGCTTTATATGCTGGTAAAAAACTAACCCCAATTGTGGAAGAATAAATCAATATAGCCAAACTTCTGTCTGCTGTAATACTGTTAAACTTCCTCTTCATAGAAAATACTCTTCATGGTCTTCTTGCACAGCTCAGAAAGCTAAGTCATAATATACTTGGTACTCACATCTTAAAACTCAACATCCATGTGAGCATGTTCCAACTCTCAACTTGCTGGCGAGAGCAAGGGGGGAACCCACCCTCCCCCCCATGTGAACTTTACTCCCTTCACAGGAACCTGAGGTTCCTTGGAGTCTGTGGTGGCAGGGGTTGAGAACAGCGACAATGGCAGAGAAATTCCAGCCACAACATGGGAGGAAAAGAGAACTCTGAGTTTGCCAAAGGAGAAGGGAGGGGACAACCTATTTGAGGGTAAGAAACACAATCTGAGCTAAGAAGTGAGGGGTTAATTATTGCCCAAGTCATTTAGTAGACTGAGAGCCTCTCAAATGCTTGACTATAGCTAATCCATCTATGAATTCCTAGACTCAATCACAGCAGCTGGCACACAGTAGGCACTCCACTAATTGTTGGATTAAAGCAAAGCTGTTTTCGTATCCTATGACAGGGTAAAAAAAAAAAAAAATCCCAATCCAATCACAAATCAGTGGCTTCAAAACTTGCCTGGGAAAGTGCAATGTGAAATTTACCACTTCAGGGCAGGCATATGATTTGCAATTTCAGAATCACAGGCTTCATTGTTCTTCTTTAAGTTATCATAATATAAGAGAAAAGATGAAAATTTAAAATCTAGTGCCCATCATTTGTTCATTTTAAGAAGCTGAAAAAAAATCTAATCCCATTAGGAAGAGGGGGAACTAAGAATCCATAAAGATTGAATAAAACTGTTTTATATCATCATTTCCCTCCAGATGCATGTTTTTTTAAATGCAATGATTTCAGCAAGGATATGAGAACTGTTATTTGTTAGATGAAGACTATGTAATTAAAGCCACTGTTCTGAAAGAAGTGCTTTGTGGGTACTTTTTTTTTTTTTAATCTTCTATGGCTGGGCTGGTAATTTTTTCCTGTCTCACACCTACTCAAAACCCAGGAGATTTGTCCTTGATGCCTGGCATGAATATAATTATGGTACAGTTCTCTAGTGCATAGTTCAGTCACAGCAGACAGCTATTGATTTGTGTGCAAATCAGAATACATATAATTTTCTCTAGACTGGGAGTTGTTAAAATGCATTAACAGCCTGGGGTTTCATGTTTTGCATATGGTGACAGTGGGGGTGGAGGTTGTTTTGCTTTATATTTTTCATTTTCTTTCTCCTCTTTACCTTGAGAACTCAGATAAGCCCTTTCTGAGCAGGAAATTTCCGCCGACTTGTTTCGACAAATTCCCATTCAATTTCACACTGGGTCACACACAATCAGAAGGATGACATAACCAAGATTTCGGAGAGAGCAAGAAGGTCAAGGCTGATTGCACAGAAATCTCTCTCTCTCCTTGCTTTTACAAGGACTTTGCTAAAGACTACTTTCTTCTCTTTCATGACTGAGATAACTTCCTAGTTAAAATATATATATATATTTAATAATCTCAAAATATGTTTTTTCACATTTTTCCTTGAGTAGCAATAGTATAATAATAACACAAAGTATTCATTCTCTTCTTCTCTACACAAAACACCCGGACTGCTAAGAGACGTGCACATAGTATAATGGAAAAGGGCAAAAGTAGGCAAATGAAAAGACCTGGGTATGATATCGGGCATTTCACAGCCCTGAGGAAGTCACACACTTTCTCTGGGCTCAGGTTTTCTGTCTATAGAAAGTGGACTGAGTATCAGTGGTTTTCAAATTGTGCACCATGAAAGTTTAGGGTGCAGATTTGGAGAAGAACACACGGTCTCTAGGCCTCCATTTCCACCATCACACTTCGGCCACAACAGGTCCATTCGTATTTGTTTATGTTTTGGATTTCCACATTAGATTTTCCATAGAGAAAGGGTTTCATAGGTTTATAAGTCTGAAAAAAATCTCTGTCCTTCCCAATTCTCAC